TCTTCTACAATGATTTGGATTGAAATTTCCAAGACTAAGAACTAAGATTGCTTAATAATTTGAGAGTTTTTTATGAACTACAATTGCTAACTAGGAGAAAAGCTATGGAAAATTGAATATCCGTACAAAAGAAGCCAAAGAAATATTTATTTTCCCCCCCGTGGACTCCGCTAGAAAAATCACAGGAAAAGACAGGCTGTCGCGCCCCTATGTTGGAGAGACCACGCTTCCACTTTCTTCCGATACTGTCAAAGGAGGGCAGAACAACAACAGCTGGTTGGAAAGGCCTTTCCATTGACCTAGAGAGGTCGCGCCATGTGGAGCGACCACACACCAAGGTTAGTGAGGCTGCGCCACACCAAACTCCTCAAAACTGCCAAGGGAGGCAAGAATGTTCAGCATTGGAGAGACCTCTCCACGGAAAGCTTGGATGATGAAGACGAAGAAGCTAAGGGGTACAAGTTGTTGCTTGACCAACCTCTACAACACAAGGAATGGTAATTTTATTTGCTTAATGTGGAGGTAAAGGAGGATAAGACTACGCCTCCTCCTAAGGTTGAACTTAAACCCCTTCCCCCTCTACTTAAATATACTTTTCTTGATGATAGTGAGTATTATCCCGTTATTGTCAATGTTAAGCATAATGAGACTTCTCTTGAGAAACTCTTAGTTGTTCTAAGGGAGTATAGAAGTGTCATTAGGTATAAAATTGATGACATGGGAGAAGTCTCGCCATTTGCATGCATAAGATCTTACTTGATGATGATCATGCTTTCTCAATTGAGCACCAAAGAAGGCTCAATCCTAACATGAAGGAAGTTGTGAAAAAAGAGGTTTTAAAACTTATTGAAGCGGGCATAATCTAACCTATCTCCGAGAGTGAGTAAGTTAGCCTAGTTTAAGTTGTGCCTACGAAAGGAGGCATGGCTGTCATCAAGAATGATAAGGGTGAGACCATTTCTATAAGGTCTGTCACCGAGTGGAGAATGTGTATTGATTACCGAAAATTGAGGAAATCCTCCTAGAAAGACCACTTTCCACTCGCCCTTTATAGATCAAATTTTGGAAAGTTTGGCATCACATAGTCACTATTGTTTCTTGGATGGATATTAGGGATTCTTCCAAATCCCAATCCAACCCAAGCATCAAGTAAAAAGACTACCTTTACATGCCCATTTGACACCTTTGCCTATTGAAGGATGTTATTTGGACTTTGTAATACACCTTCTACTTTACAAAAGTGTATGATGTTCGTTTTTTCCGTTTTTATGGATGACTTTTCGGTTGTGGTTCATCCTTTGACACTTGCCTTAAAAATTTGGTCAAAGTGTTAAAAAGGTGTCTTGAGTTGAACCTAGTTCTAAATTGGGAAAAATGTCATTTCATGGTGGAGGAAGGAATTGTTCTAGATCATGTAGTTTCTAGTAGGGGCATCGAAGTTGATCGTGCCAAAATAGAGGTGATTGAGCGCCTTCCAACCCCCCCCCCCCACTAATGTGAAAGGGGTAAGGAGCTTTCTTGGACATGCGGGTTTCTACCGCCGGTTCATTAAGGATTTTTCCAAAATCGCAAAGCCAAGCCACTCACTCAATTATTGGTAAACCAATGCCCCCTTTAGGTTTACTAATGAGTGCTTGCTAGCTTTTGATAGGTTGAAGAAGGCTTTGATTTTGGCTCCCATCATTCAACCACCAAATTGGGAGCTTCCATTTGAGCTCATGTGCGATGTTTCGGATTTTACCGTTGTTCTAGGGCAAAGTAAGGACAAGAAGCTCAATGTCATCTACTATACTAACAAGACATTAGATGAAGCACAAAGGAACTACACCACCACAAAAAAAGAGCTTCTACGCCATTGTCCATGCTATTAAGAAGTTTATATCCTATTTGGTGGGTTCCAAAGTCATTGTCTTCACCGATCATTCGGCTTTGAATCAATCTCGGTTTATCTTCCTTCTTGGCTAATAAGTACTTCAAAGCCGAATGGTCGGTGAAGATAATGACTTTGGAACCCACCAAGCGGGATAAAAACTTCTCACTAGAAGCTCTTTTTTCGTGGTGGTGTAGTTCCTCTGTGTTTCATCTAATGCCTTGCTGGTATAATCGATAGCATGGAACTTCTTGTCCTTTCTTTGCCCTAGAATGGATCTAATGACAAAATTCGAAGCATCGCATATGAGCTCAAAAGGAATCAAAATGATTGATATGAGCCGAAATCAAAGCCTTGTTCAACCTATCAAAAGCTAGCAAGCACTCATTAGTAAACCCAAAGGGGGCATCATGTAGGACTTTAGGTATTATAAGCAGAATTTCATGAATCATATTCATACGCACCTAAAACAGGATCACAAGCATAACACACAAGAATCACATAATTATACCTTTGAAGCGTGAATTCCACGTAGCTATTCGATTGACAAATCAGGGAGAGAATAGAGCCCCAAGCGTGACTCCTCTACTTAGTCCACGGGATTAGAATAAGCGTCCACCAATACTAGATTGGTTGAGTGAAAGGGAAAACCGCGATCACCACCTTTCTTGGACACCAGCACCACACGAACAACACCACCTGAGCGTGCCGTGTGAGAGAGGGGGGTTTGAGAGGGTTAGGTCTCATGTTTGCTAATTAGGGTTTTAACTTGACAATAAAACTGTTATGTGGAAAAACCTAGGCACCAAGTCTAATTATAATCCTATTATAATTAGACTAGGTTAGGAAGCCCAAAAACCCTCCAAATCCCTCCATATGGCCGGTCACCTAGGGAGAAGGCTCATCATGGGCCTTTTCCTCTTATGCTTGATCTAGTCCCTTTGTGTGACCTTATAGGATCCGTCTAATTGGGCTTTGGCCTATTTTACTAGCCCAAAGATCGTTAATACCTCTAGCTATGATATAACGACGACCCAAATGGACGAACTTAATTATCTCCATAATTTGATCCATTATATATCTAGTAATTGCACTTGACAAAGACATAAATCCTTCACATCATTTACTTATAATTAAGTGAGCGGCTTTACGATTTTGGAGAAACCCTTAATAAATCGGCGGTAGAAACCCGCATGTCCAAGAAAACTCCTTACTCCTTTCACATTAGTGGGGGGTGGGAGGCACTCAATTACCTTAATTTTGGCATGATCAACTTCGATGCCCCTATTAGAAACTACATGACCTAGAACAATTCCTTCCTCCACCATGAAATGACATTTTTTCCAATTTACAATTAAGTTCACCTCATGACACCTTTTTAACACTTTGACCAAATTTTTAAGGTAATTGTCAAAGGATGAACCGCAAAACGAAAAGTCATTCATGAACTCCTCAATTAATGATTCAAGCATGTTCGAAAAAAATGGACATTATACACTTTTTATAAGCAAAGGTGCCAAATGAGCATGTAAAGTTAGTCTTTTCTTGATTATCGGGTCCAAATCCCGAATATCCATCCAAGAAACAATAATGACTATGTGATGCCAATCTTTTCACAATTTGATCTATATAAAGGGGGAGTTCCAGGTGAATTTATTTAATTTCTGGTAATCAATACACATTCTCCACCCGGTGACTGACCTTGTAGAAATGATCTCACCCTTATCATTCTTGATGATGGTCATGCCTCCTTTCTTAGGCACGACTTAACCCTTACCCACTTACTATCGGAGTTAGGGTAGATTATGCCCACTTCAATATGTTTTAAAACCTCTTTTTTCACAACTTCTTTCAGGTTTGAGCCTTCTTTGGTGCTTACTTGAGGAAGCATGATCATCATCAAGTAAGATCTTGTGCATGCAAATGGTGGGATTTATCCCCTTAATGTCATCAATTGTATACCCAATAACTCTTCTATACTCCCTCAGAGCAACTAGGAGTTTCTCAAAAGATGTGTCATCAAGCTTAGCATTGACAATAATGGTATAATTCTCACTATCATCAAGAAAAGCATATTTAAGTAGAAGGGGAAGGGGTTTAAGTTCAACCTTAGGAGGAGGCGTAGTCCTATCATCTTTTACCTCCACATTAAGCAAATCAAATCCCTTTTCCTTGTGTTGTAGAGTTTGGTCAAGAAACAACTTGTACCCCTTAGCTTCTTCTTCTTCATCATCCAAGCTTTCCGTGAGGATAGCTTGCAAAGAATCCTTATCATCGTTTATTTTCATCAACTCCAAATCTTTCACAAGTGTGTTGATTCTATGGTTTAACAGAAAAGAAGAGGAGAAGGATATAATTTATTGGGATATGTGAAGGAAAGAGGAAGAGAGATGATGGGTCACAGTGTTTTACTAGATTACCTTTTTTTTTTTTGTTAGCAGTACCTTTTTAATTACCTTTATTTTTTAATTTTTTTTGGTTGTACCTTTTTATTTATTACGGAGTACTTATGCATGTATCAAGGAATATGCATGTACCTTTTTTTTTTTTATTCTTTTTTTATTATATACAAATATAAACGTTGGAAATATAAATTTTTTATCAAAATAACTAGTAAACGTACTATGGATTATTACTAGCGTATTGTGTATTCGTACTGCGTATGGAGCGTACTGTATTAGGTAACTCTACCAAAAAGTGCCTATTTTCCCCATATCTAAAATTTGGACTAAAATGTGGCTTGGGTCCTTATCATATATTTTTCGGTACCCTATTCACCTAGGCTTGCTTTTTTATATACCTGTGTGGGATCCTAACTTTTAGCAGTAGGAAGAGAGAGGTAATATAAAAAAATATATATATATTAAAAGCTAGTAAATCTATGACACGTTGCGGATTTTAAAAATAGCCTAACTTAAATGAAAGGATGAAAAAGGAAATTAGATAAACTTATGTTGGGAAGGAACAATTGTTTTAATTGTATTATGCAGTAATGTGTTGCCTTATATGGGATTCTATGATGTAGGAACCATGTCAACATCCTTGTTTAATTTGACGGTACTTATTTACATAGGCCTTTATTTTGTTTTACGGAATTACCATGCTTGATTGAGTGTTTTACTGGCTGTAGACCAAAGATGAAGCAATTACAGAACCAGGTTCTAGAAAATGTGGAAAATATGATGTCTGGATATTTTCAAGTCAAAACTAACATTCCAAGGCTTAGCATGAGAACAAATTCTGAGTTTTGCTTCACGAAACCAAGCTTTATTGCATCGTGTAGTACCTTTGGCCCCAAGGTATGATCTTCTTGTCTTGTTCATTTCATAGTTAGTTGATGTTAAATGTTAGTTATGCTCCCTATATTTTTAAAGAACTTAATCATGTACTGAATGCTTTAGAGATGGGAACCTTGTTTTTGTTACTGCTGTGCTACTTTCGATAAAGCAAAGCATCCCTTGCCATTGCAAGGTTTGTCATTCAATTGCTTCTTATAGATATTGTAACTTGTAAGCACACAATACTCCCATAGCTAGGAAACACTATAGCAAGGATAAAATACAACAATAGTACCCTCCCTCCACATTCAAGTGCGCCAATTTTTCTGAAACATAGTTGGGATCGTCATGGCCGTGCCAGGACTGCCAGAATATTTTTTTTCCATTAATGATGCAAGTCCTCCACCTTGATATTTTTTATACAGATGGGAACTGTTATTTTTTTTAGCAGCTTAGTGTTGTGCTACTTTTGGTTAATCCCGTTGTCTACTGCCTTTGCCTCGCACAGGCTATATTCACTTGGTTTTCATAGATTTTGTAACTTGTAAGCACACTATGTCCTTCAACAATGAACATTATGATTTATGACAATGTTCAAACAAGAGTACTCACCCTTTCTTTCAAGTGAGCCACTTTTTCCAAAATGTAGTTTGGGATAACCATGATTTCCAGTGGATTTCTTTTCATAGCAAAATTTGAACTGGTGGGAATTGTTGATTGATATTAGTTTATTATTCTCTTCTAAATTAGAAAAAGAGAAAGGATGTAAGTAGGCAATCATCCCCTTTGTTAAGGCCAGGGGAAGATTTTAATATTATTATATAATCTTGAGAATACAACTCTGTCTTGCTGCAGAAAAAAAACTGACATTTAACCAGCTGCGACAAACTATTAGATAGAGAAAATTTACACCCCAAATGTAGCTTTATAAAACTGTGAATAAAACTCAATTGTGAACTCCATTCTTGGTTTTTATTATGATTTTGACTCCCTTAGCTTACTCAATCAACAATAGATTTTTTTCACTACACTCCTAAAGCTTGAGCTGGATGACTTGGATTAGTCAATTGTTAAAACACTTCCCTTTTTCTCATTTGTTAGAAATTAGTAATTACAGAGTAATGTAAACACTTTAGGGGTCACCCATGTACAAAAGGAGGGCTTGAGCCAAAACTATCATGCTACCACAGTTACCTTGACTATGTTGAACATGGATACCCTTAGTACGTGTGCATGGCCGATGAGGAATCTTATCATGTATGACCATATGAGCCTAAATCTGCAAGCAAGTTTTTTGGGATAGCTTGAGGCCTTTGAGCCATAACTTCAATTAGGGTCTTGATTGTATGTAATGAACTGAAATTCGAACTAAGCAACTGTAACTAATTGAACAAAAAAATAGGTGGAAAGCTTGATGATTGATTGATTGCAACAAAAGGTTTACAAGGATAAGTTGATAACTTTAGGCTATCCGCTATCACTCTCATGGGCAACAAAAATTTATGATTGGTCTGCAGAATGGAGATGCATGTTGAGAGGAGAGGCAGTGATAGAGGGAGAGGACTAGGCATTTCCTACGGTGTTTTAGGTAATCAACATTGAGAGGGGATGGGGATGGAAGAGAAAGTAGGTGCTTTTGTGTGTGTATGTGTGCGAAACCAAAGCCAACTTGACCAGACTTGAAGTTTTATGTTGCTAATGTCGATTAATTAATCTATCCCTAGTAGAATACAATAAACCCGACTATTATGTACCTTATAGCTACTAATGCACATGACTAGAGTACTAGACGCAACATACCTGCTGAATTTAATGGCTCATCACTTGAATATGATCTGATCGGAATTGATCTGAATGACCCATTTGACACCTTTGGGAGCCGCCTCTAATTGGGAATGACAAATTTCCTCATTATCCTGGTCCTTTTTCTCCGTTATGTCTTTATGTCTTTGTATTGACATGTCTAATATTGTCACATATATACATCATTCAAATAAATGTTGACACTGACTGTTATTCTATAGAGCCAATGCACATTGAACCTAGGGCTAAAGAGTAATTTTCTTTTTTTTTATTTATTTTTTGTTTTTATTAATTTTACAAGTATAAAGTGAATAATTTTAACCAAACCAGAAAGCTCAAGACTACCTCTGGTGGAGTAAGATAGCTAGTTAAAAGGGCTGCTTCCAGTTTTAGGCATCTTTACTTCATAGGATCTTCTACTTCACTCCTATTTGTGCCTCTTAAGTCAATATCTACACTAAATTCCATACTTCATGTGATTTGCAGTCATTTGGTCATTGTAAACTAGAAGAATTCCGTATTTGTTAAAATTCTGCCTATTTTTCCATACCAAACATGCAACCATGAACAATCAAACAAGCATCAATTTCAACTACTTCCAGCCCTTTTTTTTTTTTTTTTTTTTTTTTTTTCTTTTTCTGCTTATCATCGTGGTTAGGTTCAGAGTTCTTTTCTAGGTGGGCATTAATTCGGGTTGAGGTTAAATTTTTCATTTGTCTATAATTAATCTTTAACATTCAAAGATACATTGAGTCTCTTGGATTTCACATCATTGTTGCATGTTGATTTATGACATGATGGAGACATACAATGTATGTGTCCTATATGAAAAGGAATAGGGACCATGTAGAGTTTGAACCTAATTGTCAATGATTTATTCGACTTACCAACTACCAGGTTACTACTGTCTAAATCATCTGTGTTATGCCTTGGCAGGGTGTTGGTCTTATCGTCCGCATAGCAGCTCTAACAACTGAACCTGTGTATCAATTTCTACGCCATCAGCTGGCTTGCTTAGAGCCATATCTTGGGGCCTTGCCATATACCTGAATGCTGAGGGAAGATGGTGAAATTGGGTTCTGCATCGGTAATAATTGGCAATAAACTGCCATTCATGTTAATGCTGCAATTTATGTGTTGAATTTCAGTGAAGTTGAATGATTTGTTTACATACAACTTTCAATGGTTTTTGAACTGCCCTTCTGTGTAGGATTTGAAATTGTTTAGGGAAAATTGATTGGATAATTATACCACAACTAGACAACAATATTGTATTTACTCTTCTCTTTTACAAAAACCAATATGACTATATTTTGAAGGCTTTATTAGAGTTTAACTTGATTTTCCTTTCACGACTTAAAGATAAGTTAACGTTTTTTACAGGGGAGTGCCGCAAATGAGGTAATAGTTGTATAGGATAACGTTTTTTAAAGGGGAGTGTCGCAAATGAGGTAATAGTTGTATTACTTGTATCGGATTTAGTAAGGTGAGCATAAATAGTTTGGCTACAAATTATTATTGATGAGCTTATACACGAGTAGCAAATGAATATTCTTAACTGGTAAGAGTTAAAAAATCCCATCCAATTTCATATGTTTGGCTAAAGCCTACATACCTCAAGTTCATAACCAGGACTTTTTTGTGCAAGACTATTCTTGCAAAGTTTTCCTTGTCGCAAATTCACCAAGTAACAAATCAAATCTCTAAATTAAGTTAAAGAGATGTGGACTTTTTATACTACTGTAATTTGTTATTTTCCACTCCCACTAACCCCAATTGTAGTACTTAGAGCACCGGAATCAATAAGGTTTGTCCATCCTTTTAACTCACTTATTGGATATCTTGAGGATTCTCATGAATGTGCAAGAGGATGAGAGGATCCGAGGAAATGACTCTTGCTGAGGAGGATGCTCTTACTCGACTCTTGTGCAATACGTGGAGATTTTGTATTTAAAAAATGTAAGACATTGTTGTGTCAGCTATTGTGATTGAAAAGCTCCGCACAATTTGGAAGGCAATATCAACGGTTTTATTACTTGTTACTCCCTCTGTTTTCAATTGTTTTCCTCATAGAAATATTTCATTTTATTAAGTTTTAGTTGATTGGAATTGATGAGAGAGAAATATGGTGTGACCTAACGTATTTTGTGAGAGTAAAATAGTGGTCCCTATGTACATTAATAGTATTGAATAATTTTTGAGGGATGACTTAAAAAGGAAATTGGGGCAAACAAAAAGGAATAGAGGGAGTATGATTTTTGTCTATATACTTTATGTATTCACATCCTCAAATCGCATGCCATAAACTTAAGTTGCAAGTTAAAGAAAATAGAGAAAGTAGAAACTATGTGATTAGTATAGTCATTAAACTTGTGATGATGCTCAACGAGAATAATCCTTTCTTGTCATAGTCGTTTGCTTTCAATTTAGACTATTATTATCCTTATTATTTACTTAATAACGAATCAATGCTTAACTATAAAGGGCATAGTGTTTTGTGTCATTATTCAAATTACCAATAGATTTACAGTTCATGTCTTTCTTTTCTCTTTTGCCAAATTCCAAATAAAAAAAAGGTGAAAAATCTCTTTATTTGATTCTCTCTTTGTTGATGCAAAAGCTAAAGTCCCGTCAGACTTTCTAGTTGCTTTACATTCTTATTCGCCCATTCCAAAATAATTACTCCATTCAATTTCCTTATTCGGTAACGTTTACCACCCTCATAAAACACTCTATATGCATTCGATGTGTTCGATACATTTTTGCAATATGTTTTTAAAATTATATTACTGGTAGAGAAAAAAGAGAATAAAATAAAATAAAGTTTGATTTGATAAATATTTACACTAATAAAAAATAAAAATCAATATAAAGCTAAAATAAGGTAACTTTTAATTGTAAATCATTATTTTTTTTATTGAATATCTATACTTCTTTAGAAAAATAGATGAAGGGGTAGCAAAAAAAATTAAAGTTCATATATTGAACACCAAGCTATTCATGAACTGACTTGTGTATAAATAATAGTTAGGGGATCACTAATGTGTTGTTCAAGCCAGATTGCAAACTTCTTATAGATCGCCTCAATAAAGGAGCAGTGTACCTCTCGGACCTTGATGCGGTACTTGGTGACATGTTTGATGGGAGTGCTTGTTTTGAGTCTGTCAATTGGCGTCATGTCTGTAGAGAAGGCAATTTTGTCGCTCACCACTTAGCTAAGCTAGTTCCGTTTGGTATTAAACAAGTATGGGAAAATCATTGTCCAAATGAGATTTCCCCGTATGTACTTATGGATACTTTATCATTTGATTAATAATATCTAGCTCGGTTTCCCTCAAAAAAAAAATGCGTGCTTAAACTTTTGTATAAATATTTATATTTCAGTAAAATACCAATATTTTTAGTAGAGATTTACACCTTTAATCAAATCGACCGATGTTAAATTAAATAATTTACCCTAAGGTTAACAAGATTTACACCTCATCTAATTAATAAAATAATTGAATGGGGAATATTTTTTAGTTCAAGTCAAGTTGACTTCTGGTCGGATCAAATCGGTTCGGTTTAAGTTCAAATCGGGTCAAATTGGTTTCGGGTTGAGTTCAAGTCGAGTCAAATTATTGTTGGGTTAAGTACAAATTTGGTCAAATTAGGATTTGATCGAGTACAAGTCGGTTATAGGTCGGGTTTGGGTTTTGAATTTTTAGGGTCAAATCAAGTAGGTTACAGTTTGAAACATATGGTTTTTTTCAAGTGCATCCAAGTGTTTTTTTTTTGTTCATTTGAATTTTTTGTTTTTTCACATTTTAAAATATTAATATGAGCAAAATAAATAAAATGAGCAAATACCATTTTTGGGAGTACCTACCTCTATGTGCACCCAGGTGTATATGAAGTATGTGGTTGGTCACACTGTATGATCATCCATCACAATTAGTGTTACAGGGATTATATTGTCAGTGTTATAAGGTTACTCATTCAGTAATATAGGGGTTACTCGGTGTCATAAGAATTACTTTATTCATTTATCAGCGATCGCATGGTGTATCCAGCCGCATACAAAACAGGATAGTAAGTATCAATCCGTTTAAAAAAACGAAGGGAGTAATTGCTCAAGTTTTTTTAAAAAAAAATGTGACAAAATTCGCCAACGAGAACACCCGGCAAATCCCTAATTTATCCCTACCTCCTTAATAACTCCTCTGCATTTTTGCCTTAGCACCTTCTCAGCTTACACACACTCACCCCCACGTCCTCCTAACGCCGGCGATTCTCCGCCTCTCCGTCGACGGCGTCTCTCTCCTCGGCGGCGGCGTTCGTCCAATCTCCGCCGTATTCACCAGCGTCTCCGTCTCTCTCCGGTGTCTCCATCTTCCTCTCTCTCCGAAGAAATCAAAAATTGTCCACCAGATCTAAACGCTTCATCTTCGAATTTTCCGACGAACATTTAATTCTGCTGTCTTTCGAATTTTTGTTAGATCCAAAACCCATTTTACTTGTTCAATATCGCGTTTTTTTTTTATCAATTTGGGGAATAAGATAAAATTATAGTTGACCTAGGTTACTGAATGTATGTATGTGAATTCATTATATTCAGGTATTAAAATTGATAGTTGTAATCTTTTGTAGATCATACAGTATTACCAGAATGGCCGACAAATCGAAGCCGACGATGTCGACGATATACCTTTATGTACCTAATATAATTGGTGAGTTTTGCTATAAATAATTGAATTGAATTTTTTGTGTTTATTGGTGGAAATGAATTGCATTATTGATTTGATTCTATGTATGTAAATGCAGGGTACATTAGAGTTATAATGAATTGTGTTGCATTTGCAATATGTTTTTCTCATAAAGGCCTTTTTTCAATTCTGTATTTTGTAAGGTAATTTTAACTTACTATTTACATTATTTCATCTATATTTGCTCTTACCGATAATGAGTATGTCAGTTGGTTTTTGAGTGGTTGCTGAAGTTTGAATCTTTGGTTGTAGCTTTGTATGTGATGGTATAGATGGATGGTTTGCTCGTAAACTCAATCAAGGTACCACTGTTTTACTCTTTTTATACGTTTTATGTATTTTGAGAGAATGTCTTGTTTATTTATGATAAATTTAATGTTAGATAATAGCAAAAGAGTTGCTTGCGGATAAGATTATGAGGGTTGTGGCGGTTTTCGATGATTTCTTATTGATAATAGAATTTTCTAGTATTAGGTATGTTATGTTGACTTGGACCACATTATTTGCTCTGACTTCATGCTCATGGTCTCTACAGTATCAACATTTGGTGCCGTTTTGGATATGGTGACAGACAGGTCTGTCCCTTATTTCCGTCCCTCCATTGCTATTTTTCCCTTCAGTTCTGCTCCAAATTAATTATCCCTGCTTTTTTGCTATTGTAATAATGCCCTGTTAACTTTTTATACTTCGTAGAAAAGTTGTGAGCTGAATAGCTGATTACCCCTTTCAAGTCCCATCTCAAAATGTGTATACTACAATTTATTTATTAAAGAGTATGCTGCTGAGAAGTGAAGCATTTAGTTTAGGAAAAATTCATACAAATAATCCAAACTATGGCCATTCTTCCAATATTAATCCCAATTAAAGGTTATTATATAAAAATCCAAACTATATAGTGCATTTTCCCATATTGATCCCTGACTTGATGAAACCAGTTCAATAAGTCATTTGAGGCATGTGTCTTATAATTATTGGCTCCCATTTTTTTATTTTCAAAGGATATAATTTTTAAAAGGCTTTTTTTTAAAAAATAAATAAAAGAAAAATCAGAATACTCTCTCACTCCTTTCCTTTCCCACTCCAGCCATTGCAAACTCATCAGTCACCAACTCACCACCATAGCCAGAGGATGATCTAGTGCCTTAATTCATTGCATCTATTAGTTTCGATTGCTGAATAAACTGTACTTAGTAGAATGTTGGCAATTTGTTGGTGATTTTGTTTAGTTCTTGTGTTTGCATTTGAGGAAATGAGAAAAAAAAAATTATATCTTCATGTTGCTCAAAAATATCAAGCTCAAACCCTCAAAAAAAAAAAAAAAAAAAAATCAAGCTCAAGTATATGGAAAAAATTACATTAAAGAAACTTCTTTATGGTCAAATCAGAGGAAGATGTTTTTACAGACCAAAAATATTTAAGAATATTTTGGATTAATGACAACTTTAGTGGTGGGGGTTGTTTATGGTCGTGGCTGGTGATGGCAAAGCGAAGGTATCGCCCATGATGGCAGTGGTGGGATGGAAGGAGCTAGGCTTGAGAAGAAGAAATGATTGGAACAAATAAATAAACAAA